ATGATGGTGCATCTATTGTGAAGCTACAGTAATAAGCATCATAAACTTAAAGATGATAGCAGCCCTCTTTTATAGTTTGTCTTCAACGAACCTTTAGCTCTTTGATGTTGAATACTTTCTTTGAGTTTTGTTTGAGTTATCCACTTTAATGCCCATTCAATTTCAACTTCTCTATTACCCCCACTACTGTTTGTGGGGTTAAAGTTGATAGAAAAATGGCGCAAAAGTTTCATAAAACCATTCATGAATTCTCATGCGATGAGGAAGCAATTACTAAGAATTTAACAAAACTATATGGAAGGGCATGGCCAACATTGTGTTAAAAGCCAACATCATAGTGGATGATCTTGTTTGGCTGCATTTTATGTTAGGATTAAGTCAAGTAAGAAGTTGATAAGCTGAAGCCGATTTATTATTAGCCATTCTAGATCTTTAAAATGATTGAAGATAATGCTACCAATTGGAGTTATCACCATGCATGGAAATTTTGTTAGCTTAGATAAGTGCTGGCTATAATGGTGGTCTATTGATGGAACATGAAATATCTTTGAAACTTGACATCCTCTAGGAAAAGAAGGCCACCACCACTTTTCATAGTCAATTATTTACTTATCATATGGGCAAAAAGATTAATTACCTAGTGCAATATACTGGTGCAACACGCATGCTGGGCAGGCAATGTTCCCTCATATCCAAAGTTTAGATCAAATGGAATGTGAAAATTAGATTGGGTTGCGGGAGTCCAAATGAATTGAAATACAATATGTTTAAGCTTTTCAAAAATAGTTTTGGCCACAAGTGTCCAAATGAATTTATCTTCTTTACCTCGGTCATAGGAGCTGCCACCGGGCTAAAATCTTTAGTAGATCCTTGATAGAAAGAGATCAATATGTGGAAGCACCGAACTGATAAGTAACCAAGGAATTTATTAATCTTTTCTATAACCCTTTCTATCCCAACAGTATAAATAACATATCCAATAAAATCAATCTTGTTTGCTAGGAATTTACATTTACTCGGATAGAAGTTTGATTTTTTTTTATGTAGAAACTTGAATAATTGTTGCAAATGATGCAGATTTTACTCTAGAGTGCAGCTATACATTGGTATATCTTCGAAGTATACAATCAGTAATTTATCAATGAACAATCAAAATACTTGCATCATTAAATATTCAAATGAGTTGGAACATTGGATCGGCTGAAAGACACTACTGTTCGCTCATCTTATGTTTTTAAAGTTCGCTTTTATTCATTTATTAACTTCATTCGTATATGGTGATAACTTCTATGTAGGTCAATCTTAGAGGAAATGCATGTTTCTTGTAATTGACCAAGTATATTGTCAGCTATAGGAATTGAGAGTTGATATTTTATGGTATTTTTTGATTGTCCGGTTGTTAATCCATATTCTCTAGTGTCATTTTTTTTTGAACTAGTAAGGTAGTTATTGCACCAGGACCAGTGCTTTCATGAATGATTCTCTTTGCAAGAAGTTCTACAAAGTGTCGTAGTTTTATTTTTTTTTATAGATCTTGCTAGATAATTTGGATGATGGGGAATAACAATGCCATGGATAAAATCTATCATATGCTGGAAATCTCTTATCAGAGGTAATCCTGTTGGTAACTCTATAGAAAATACAAATTGAAATTCTTGTAGCAAAGGTTGAATCTTCTCTGAGTTAAGTTCCTCTTGATTTTCCTCCATCACCATGAGAGCATAAGTAGAAGGCGAGTCTTGCATAGCTCATGTAAATATAGATTTGGAAATGATTGAATAAGCTCTAGTATCGTAATATCTTCTCTCATGGGCAGCAATATTCCTTCTTGCCTTTTTATTATAAAGGTGCACATGCTTTTATAACTTTCAGGGATAATACATGTATTATACTTTCAAGGTTGTCCTAAAAGTAAATGGGCAGGCTCCTTAGCGATTGTCACACCAGACCTTTTTATGCGCTTTGTAACCCATAGAAAATTGTACTAAATATCATTCTAAAAATTGAATTTCATTTCCTTTTGTAACCGATATAGTTTGTAAGCCATTGGGTTCTTTTGTATTGGCAGGTTTAAATATTCTAACATCTTCTTGGCCTCCACATTTTTTCATTTCCTAGCAACAATCATAATGTTGCACGCTTTGTTTTGCACCATACACCTAGTATGAGCAATTCTATGGCGGAGCCACTTTGTTTTTGATTTATAGCGGGGCTTAAAACTTGTCGAACTATGATAAACTCTCCATTAGTAGTATATATTAGGTGACCATCTTCATCTTCACGTGTTTCTTCTACTTCTTTAGGGCAATTTGAAGCTTTGCCCAAACATATGTATCAAATACATTATATGAGGGTGTTCTTAGCATAGAAAGTGCTGACTTTCTTTTCACAACTGGTTGATGGTTGGGAGGAGCAAGTTTAGGAGGGATTTGTGTGCCCTCATGAGTTTCCTTTCCAAATCTCTGGGGTACTTGTCCTAGTCTTGGAGTGAAGTTTTTTGTTGTGGATTATTGTTGTTATACTCTTAGAGCCATTTTTGGTGATGCTCAATAGTGTCCCATATTATTATAATTGTATGGCACTGGCAATTGTAAGTCAAACTGGTGATAAACATGTAATTATATGCTCTTTATGTTCGACTACAGTATACTTGAATAAATTAATATATATATATATATATATATATATGCTTGTTTGTGCATTCTTGACTATGATGAATTTGCCCCCTTTATGGTATTAGTTGGGAAACACTAAGGCACCCGTGCATATAAATAGAAAATGATATTGATATTGAAGTACCTAGTCAACCTCTGTCGCCCTTGGAATATATCTTAGAGGTGTTTGTTTATGTAGTTCATATTTTATGTTGTTATTTTCTGTTGTATTGTGTTGTAAGCTTCTCTCTACATCAATAAAAATTTGCTTTGCTTTTTTTGTTGAATTTCTTACTAGTTCTGATATCAATACCAGTTTGAGGACTCTTTCACCTCCACATGGGCTTACTTTTTGTCGCCTCAACTGTAGAGGTTATCATACCAATCTATTTGCATACATTACCCTCTTAAGGTTATTTAATTTTCATTAATGAATATTTAAATACATATAGTTTTTATCTCACATGTAATTTTTATTAGCTGTATTAATTTTTTCATTAAAAATACAAATTTGCCTTATTTAAAAAAATACAAGACTTTAATAAAGTGCTAACTTACTTTAAATGCTTGAAATGTATGTTTTTCACACTTAAGAAAAAAATTTCGGGTAATCATTTTTTATCATGCCTGGTCAAACAATAATGCGCACTTTGCAAAAAAATGTATTTGTAATATCTTATGCACATTTAAATTCATACAAAATTGAATGCATCAGATTAAGTGAAAATTATTTTCTTGATTAGAAATTATATATTTTACTCAACAGATAATTGATAATAGAATAAGTCCTTGAATCGGTCATTGGGAAATTTTATTTTTCTATGAAAAATCTTAATTATACATACTTTTTTTAATTTGCTTAATTTTTAACTTCTCAATTCAAATTTAATTGAAAGCTAAATGCAAGTTATATGTGTTTCTTGTATGCAAATTTTAAGTGTAAAAATATTTTTTTGCTACAGTACAAAACTTGTTCTGCAATAGAATCAAATTAAACTTTATACAGAAGATTTAATTGATTAATTGATTTAAATAAACTAATGTACTTATGATTACCTATGTATATGCATGCTTCTGTCCCTGTGCGAGTTAAAGTGATCCTTCGAAAATTTAGGGTTTTCTAAAATAATTTGAATCATTTTTGTGAGGTGTGAAAAATGGGGCATGACATTTTTTTACCTTTACTAAAATTCTAAATATTATATTTCGTAAAGTAATTTTTTAAGCTCAGGTTATCATCACTAGTTAATCCCCAAAGTATTTTTACTCTATTTATGAATCTTTCTCCATTTATCATACTTTATTCTTGCTGGAAGTCAAAGATGATGGAGAGATTATCTATACTCATTCTAGTTTTTTTTTTGGATTGGGCCAATTTTGTCACTTGCAACTTTGGTTTTTCCCCTTCCTTCACTTAGATGGTGGTTGACTTTTGTGTTGAGGCCGTGCACCAACCCCACTTAATGGGATGAAGGTTTTGTTGTTGTTTTTGTTGGTGGTCAATTTTTGTCACTACTAGCTTAGCAAGATCTTTTGCTCTACCATCGCAATGTAGAATTTTTAATTTAAAATTGACCTTGGAATAAAGTGTTGCATTTACTTGATCTATTTTTCACAAATCCTAATGATTTACCCATCTAGCGTTCTTTGGGGCTTGTTAGGGATCTTATGTCTGCATGCTTATAGCGGAGGAACCTATCATTTTCCCTTTGTGTGCATGAGGTATCGAATCTGTTAAAGATGCTTAATGCGGTTGGTGATTTATCCTCACTTCTCTTGAAATGAAAATATGAAAAAAATGAGGTGTTAAATTTGATTTATCAATTAGAAGTGCAAGGTCTATTATATACAGTAAATTTAATTTTTATTATAATTGGCCTTATTATAATTATATGGGATCCGGTTTATGTATCCTAGTACTCAATTCATTTTTATTGAGCATTATGTTAGATGATAAACTTGTTTTGCATGGCTTCTATATATCTTCTTTTTGCAATTTTTTGACATTAATTTTATGGGGCATTTGCATACATACCACCCAATTTTTATGCATTTACATATCTAACACCTAGCCTCTTCTTTTTTACATTTATACCACCCAATCTTTAATATCACATAAAATTTTTTACTATTTTAAGCTTGAAAAGGTGAAACACATCTTTTCATGTATAGGTATGGTGGCATATATGTAAAAATTGACGTTTAGTTGTTAGATATGTAAATACATAAGAATTAAGTGGTATGTATGTAAATCTCTTTAACTTTATTTGCCTGCCACACCGGTGGAATTTTTACTTCTATATAAAGTTGATTGAAATACTAAAATTGAACTTTTTTTTGCATGAGGATTATTTTGATATCATCGACACTCCTATGGATTTTGGAAGCATCTGCCATGATCTGGAGCATGGAGCTAAGTACAAGACTTCTTTAGATGTTTTTAATGACGTGCAGTTTATATGGGATAACTGCTACAAGTACAACAATAAGGGTGATTACATTTTGGAATTAATGAAACGAGTGAAGAAAAACTTCATGAAATACTGGACGGCTGCTAGTTTGCTTACAGAGATGCCTATTGGTGAGAGTTATTATTGGCGGTGGAAAGATTTTCCTTTATTTTGTTTTTTTTTTGGTACATTCCAGGTTAAATGTTTTTGGTACATTCCGGGTTAAATGTCTAGCTATTGCTTCCAGACCACAATAGTTTGCTTAGCAGTTGTTTATTTTGGGCTTTTTTGTTTTTTTTTTCTTTTTTTATTAAAATTTTCTTATTTTTTTCCACAAGAAGGATATCATTAGCAAAAAGATGCACCAAGGGACATCTTTCTATGTATGTCTAGTAAGAACATCCATAACTAAAGCACAAAGATATGGGGTTAAAGCCGATCTTTGATATAATTGAACCGAAATAGGAAAATACTAGGTCAATCCTCCTTGTGTTCAAACATAAGTAACAACTCTAGTATATATATGTTTAATGACTTGAATATAATCAATATTAACATATTTCTTTTCTAGAACTCTCCAAAGTACTTCTCTTGGAATCTTATCATATACTTTTCTAAATCAACAAACATCATATGTAGATCCTTCTTACTATCCCTATACTTCTTCATGAAGGCTCTTAATAAATGTATAACTTTCACAGTAGGTTTGCTCGACATGAATTCAAATCAATTTTTAGAAATTTTTGTATCACGTCATAACCTCTGTTCAATTATTCTCTCACATGGTTTTAATGTATGACACATAAATTAATTTTTTCATAATTTGCACACTTTGTGCATCACCTTAATTTGTAAACATAAAAACTAATAAACTCCTTCTCCACTCATCAGACATCTTTTAGTTTTTAAATTATTATTAAAAAGTTTAGTAAGCCAAAAAATTCCCATACCTTTTAAACATTTTCATACTGTTATTGAAATATTATTAAGTTCTAGTGCTTTTTTACACTTCATTTTCTTTAATATCTTATCAACTTTTGTTTTACTAATGTAATAGTGAATATAAAAAATTTTGTTATTATTTAAGATATTAGGATAACTAACGTCTATTGTATTTTCACAATTTTTGTTGAAAAAATTATTAAAATATCTCACCCGCTTATGTTGAATATACTCATATAAGAAATTTACATTTTATTTTTATTGTAAATTTATTTAACTTAAACTAAATTTTTAGTTTTCTCATATCTTTGTTTGATGAGTTTATGTGTATATTTTTTCACTCTCTTTAGTATCTAATTTTTTATAAAGATCCTTACAAATAAAATTCTTAATATCACAAATTATTCTCTTAGATTCTCTGCAGATCAGCTTATATTTTTTCCAATTATTGAAGTTTTTACATCTAAATTAATTTGTATAAGGTAATGTCTTATTTTTCTTTATCTATTTTACCCATTATTATTTCACCACCAACTATTTTTATTCACAATAGTTTTTTTAAGATTCGCAAAACATGTTTTGCAACTTGTTTCACAGTACTCATTATTTATCCCTATAGTTTTAACTATTTTAGGAAAATCTCAAATTTTAAAATAATGAAGTTTACTTATAAAAATATTTTTTTAGTCTTTTAAGTGTCTCCATCTAATGTTATGATAATATTTCATTATATTTTAATCTTCCAACCATTCAATTTAAAATTCAAAACCGATAATCGATGTGGGTGCTTAAATTTTTATTTGAAATGACCTTACGATCTTTACAATCTTGACTATCTAATTTTCTCAAATTAAAATAATTATTTTGTTTTTTATCTGACCCCTTCTTATAACTGATAATATGCTCATTTTTTTCTTAAATTAAGTATTAGCAATAACAAAATCATTAGCTAAATCAAAATTCAATATAAATTTTCCTTCTTCATTAATCACTCAAAAACCAGAACCACCATGAATGCTTTTAAAATCTTCATACCCTTGACTGACATGTCCATTTAAATCTCATTAAATAAATTTTTTTTTTTAAAAGGGATCCTTTGTATTAATTCTTATGGTTCATTTCATAATATTTCTTTTGTATATGTATCCAAACTTACTTAGGGAGCATAAACACTTGTAACGTTAAAAAAAAATAGTATCAACAATAATCTTTATTTGCTATAATGTTGTCTCCAATTCTATTAATTTTTATGATATTGTCTTTCAAACTCATATCTATAATTATATTACACCATTTCTTGTACGATTCCTATTTTAATATCAAAATTTAAAATCTAGGCTATCATTCTTCTTAACCTTTTCTTCAACCCATTTAATTTCTTGATTGCATATGATATTTATCTTTCTATGTATCATAATATCTAGTATTTCTATTAATTTATTTGTGAGAATGCCTATATTTCAAGTTCCTATTCTAATATTAGTTTCATGGAGTAATTTTTTACCCGCATCCGTCAATAATATGAGAACTCTTGTTTATTTAACACTATACACGGGCACCGGTGCATTGGCCTTTGCACATTTTTCACTCTATTTAGATAATACAATATGTTGCTTCCAGGGGACACTTTAGCATTAACACAATAATAAAGAATTCATGTCATAGTTTTTTGATTAAATTTTTACACTGGCTGTCAACTACCTAGCACAACTCACGACTTTTTTTATTTAGAACTTGGGACCCAACAATAGTAGTGTAATTTTAGGTATTCTAGCATATTCACAAAAATCAATGTGCAAATATTTAAATAAATAGTGTATTTATTATGTAGACACAAACATATTACATACTTGAGATGTATATCCATGAGTCAGTACAAAATCAAAGTTTATTTGATATCTAATTGATTTGTAAGGTTAGCTTAAAATTGAATTGGTTGTGCTAATTTTTTTTTTGTAACTTTTGAGGAATTTTGAGTTTCACTTATTTTCTTATACTCTTGCATTATATTTTTTTATCCATTTGTTTTATGACTGTGGGACTAAATTTTTGTTGTATTGCGCCCTTTGCATCTATATGTTTTGATTATGTGTGCGTGCATGTGCATGCTCATGTGTAAATTTTTAATGATTAAGGCTTTTTAGTTGTTGTTTAAATTACCAATAACGTTTGCTACTTTAAATTCTAGATATTCAAAATTTGAAATGAAGAATAATTGATGTAGAACGACAATTTACTCACTTTGTGTATGGGTATACATTTTTGTATTGTTGTGTGCATTTTTCTTTGAAATGTTTTGATAGAGAGAGACTATTGTCCTTTTTTAATGTAGAATCCATTTCTCTTTCACATCTTTCACCCATCATCACAAATTTTGATGATTAAATTTAAATATAGCAAGAAAATAACAATTAGTTTCTTTTTTATTGACGTGAGAGCGTTACTCCAGAGCTCCATAATCTTGTTTCTACGGGATTCTATCGTCTGCAGATTTCACTGGATCTTGAAAAGGACGCGACTGCGCTAGAATCAAACGCGATTCCATCAAAATTCCAGTTTTGCACCATTTTATTTCCCTTTTCCATTTTCTTCCTATATCCTATTTTTTAATTAGTGTTTTTTGGGGCATATTTGTATGTTTTATTTTCTGCTTTGTGGACTTTGTTTTGTTTGTGAGTTTTGAAGATTGTAATATTTGATTTCTACCTTAAGGAGTGTTGTATCATTTTCCTTTGCAAGTAGTGTGTTGTTATCTTACCTTGGATCAGATGTTGGAACCTCCTCTCCGCCCGAAAATCATCGATTCAGAGTTCCCTCTATTATTTTCAATCTGGACAACCATCGAACAACGCCTATCGTATTCCAAATTTCTTCAAACTTGTTTATTATCTTCCCTCCCATTGCTTTTCCACAATCACCTCCTCGCAGAACCCCTTTCTTTTATCCTTTCACACCTTCTAGGAATCATAGAGCAATATCATATGGTATCAGAGCCCGAAAAACTCTAAATTTTTAGGGATTTGTCATTCTTACACCTAAAACAAGAATCCATATAATCTAACTTAACACCCCTACCAACAAATTTCCCCGCGTTTTCACCTGGCCCTAGCCCTAACCTTAACCCTAATCCTAACCCTAAACGATATCACTCTTTTTCCATTCTTACACCTAAAACAAGAATCCATATAATCTAACTTAACACCCCTACCAAAAATTTTCCCTGCGTTTTCACCTGGCCCTAACCCTAATCCTAACCCTAATCCTAACCCTAAACGATATTACTCTTTTTTGTTTAAACTTCCACTGCAAGAACAAACCGTCGCTGCCAAGGAAAAATTGGCAACGAGGTGTTTAGGAGCTCACTATGGAGGACATGTAGCGGGAATTCTTTTAACTGCAACAGAGGCTTATCGTCTTTGAGAGGAGATAATCTAGTGAGGTCGCTCATAACCACAATGGTGAATCGCTCGAGGTGTTTAGGAGCTCACTATGGAGGACATGTAGTGGGAATTCTTTTAACTGCAACAGAGGCTTACCGTCTTTGAGAGGAGACAATCTAGTGAGGTCGCTCATAACCACAATGGTAAATCGCCGAATCGCTAGATTGAGAGGTGGAAGTGAATCTCTTTCACTTGACAATTTTCAGTGATGAAGACCCAATACCTTGAAGATTTGACATGGAATATAATAGGAGAAGTTAAGAATTTGGAGTGAAGATTGACTTGTTAAATTTTCATGATCGCTTGAACTTGGACTAATTTATCGAGTGGCTCCAGGTAATGGAATGTGTCTTTGAATAAAAAAACGTCCCACCTGACAAAAGGGTAAACTAACCGCCTTTAAGCTAAGGAAGAGTATTTTTGTGATAGAAAAATTTGAAACGGCTACGCTAAAGAGTGTAAAGAGACAAAATTACGTGTTGGACTAAGATGAAAAGGGAGTTTCAACACAAATTTCTTCTTCCATATTATCGACTTGTTCATAAATCTCCATCACCTACATTTTCAAGATCATGCTGTGGAGTACACATCTGAATTTTATGAACTCATGCTGAAATATGTTTATGGAACTAGAGGAGTACATTAGGGAGGTACCTTGGAGGATAGAGATTGTCCATTAGTAATGTGATGCAATTGTTGCCTCATTGTTCTCTACTTGATGTTCGTTCCTTAGCCCTGAAAATGAGGAAAAATGACATCATTAGTTGACTGCCACACCTCTCAAACAAAGTTCAATCTCATGAGTAGTCAACAAGCGTGCACATAGTGTAGCACTGAAGCCGACATGCTAGAAGAAAAATTAGTTCATAGTGGAGAAAAAGTGGAGAGCTCCAACACTCCCAAATTCGTCTAAGCAAAGATGTTGCTCAAGTTCCCCAATTTTGGGCATGTTGCATATGATTGCCCAAATAGCACGCAGCAGGGAACGGTTAAAGAATGAATAGTGACACAGGTGATATTGAAGAAGGTGAGAACGCAAGGGAAGATTACCAGCTTGCAGCCGATGAGGAAAAGATGCTAGTGATTCAAGTTGAGCCCATGAGAGAGCCTCCAACATGATAAACATTGTTTGTCCTAGAAGTTAGTGAATCGAGGTAATAGACTATTCCTACAGAGTTGAGGATGTAGTGCCTGAGTTTTATGCAGACGTTAAGAGGAGCATCATTTGCATGAAAGAATACAAAGAACTTGGGTAAAACAAAGCTATAGGATCCTTGAAATTAATAAAGAAATAAGTACCAACGCTGAATCCTCAAATTGTTGTTGTTGAATCTTAAGCACACTGAGTTAATAAAACCCCAAAGCAATAAAATTAGATAACCAAAGCAAAAGCTATAACAAATTTTCATAATTTTAATTGCAATAAATTATGAAAGTGTATACACAGGTGATCTATTTCTAAAGAAACTAAATCCTGATAAATTTATTCTTGTTACATTTCGAGCCATCTTTAAATAAAAAACAACTAAAAATCTTCCACAAATGATATTGAGTCCCATGCAATATGAAAATTGGTCTGTTTAGTTATTTGTTGCTTAGTTCAACTTCTTAGGTTTTGCCTATGAGAAAATGAGTCTATCTGAACTAATTGGCTTGTGTATCATTCCCACCATAACAAAAAGAACTCTCCTCTGGAGAGTAGAAATTGTGTAATGTCCTTTTTTTAAGTCAAACAAAGAATAACATCGGAAGGATAATAAAAGCATATTATTTCATCTTCAAAAGCTGTTTCTCTTTTTTCCTGATGCTACAAGTGGGAGCACTAGTGCCGGACACAGCACACATTGACTTTTTCAAAGTATAATCTTTGGAAGTTGAGCAGATCTCTTGGAAGATGCAGCAACATTTGAAGGATTAAGAAAACTCTTCTTTTTTTTCTCTTACTTGGGAGATCAAAGACGACAAACAAGACTCCATGGTTTGTGAAATTGGAAAGAATATTCAGTGAGTAATAATAGATTAACAAATTGTTTTGAACAATAGTGTATATAGATGTTTTCGGACCTATTAATTTAATATAATGAAGTTAAGTAGAAAAATATCAGATTTAATTTAGTGAGAGAATTTATGGATTAGTTAAGTTTTGCGATTATACTTAGATTCAAATTTGAAGGATTTTGTTTAGTAATTTAAGTAACAGGGTGATATAATTTGGGAGATGATATGAATAAGAGCGAGAGAAAGGGTGAGGGAGGACATATAGTGTGTGTGAAAGTTGTTTGCCATATAATTTTTTTTTTGACAGGAGGCTGAATGAAACTGAATATATGAATTGGATTTTTTTTGTATTTATTTTAACATGATGGGAAACCAATAATTCACAACAAATAAGGAGAAGGAACCCTCTTGACAGGAGGCTGAATGAAACTGAATATATGAATTAGATTTTTTTTGTATTTATTTTAACATGAAGGGAAACCAATAATCCACAACAAATAAGGAGAAGGAACCCTCGAGTAGATAGAAAAATCAGGAAGAATAAGAAAATGAAAAAAAATTGCTATAATCAGAATGAAAATAGCTGTTAATTATTAAAATCTAGTGCAAAGTAATAAAAGAAAATGGTAAAATGAGAACAAAATATCAGGAAAGTTGCTCTGAACCCAATTGACTTAGGGTGCCTAGAGGGAATTGTGGAAATTTTCTTTGAACAAGGAGCACTTTGGATGTCGTCCTAGTTATTATGGTCAAAGTGTAAGAAGCGCTTGCTTGATTTTTGCGATTTGGTAATTTTTGATATGCTCCAGTAAATTCCCTTAAGAAATTTGAATCATGCGGTCACTTGGTTGCTTGAAATTGAATTTTTTTTTGGACTTGAAGCACTAATAGATAATCTGGTGCGATGCCTTTGTAATATTTGCTGAACTTTTCTGTGCTTTATTTGTTGTTCTGACCTTTTTTGTTTGCTTTTATACTGGATGCATTCTTTATCACTTAGTTTTGAGTAAATTGTGGATTTACTTTGTCTCAAGGTACTGAAGCTGAAGATGTTCGGCGTCAGCAGGACAAATCGACATCAAAAATCAAATCAAAACATAAACGTCGACGCCATGGGTGAGTTCATTGTGAATGATTTGTTATGTAGAATTGTTGACTGTGTTTGCTTGCTGTTAATGTTTGGGTACTGGTAGTTTGTAGTTATGCAGATTTTAATATGTATTGTTGTCATTGTGCTCATAGCAGTGAAAGTAAATCAGATGATTAATTAAAAGGGTTAAGAGGTTCTGTGGCTCTCTCTGTCATTCTTTATCTTTGTCTATCAAAAGATCAGCAAATATGTTTTTCGTAATTGATATGACGATGATTCAGTCCTTCAGTTATTCATTTGATATGCGTTAGTAAGCAAGCTATCTAGACCCTTGTGGTTGGCTAGGACAATGCTTTTTAATTTTTGGTCCAACTTTGACCTTTATAGTTTGAACTAGTTAGCTGCCAAAGTCCATTTTGACCTCTTCTTAAAGTCAACCATGAGACGTGGTGTGGGCAGATAATTCATTCAGACTCATTTTCATACCATTAATTATGTGAGTGAAAAATTAATCTTTTGAGATCATCATAAACATATTTCACACTTCATAATCCTCTATTAGATTCCTTATAATACTTGAGCATGTATGGTTTTGATCAGCAAAATTGACTTTCAAGCTTTTTCTAATAGACTTCATAGGAAATTTAAACATTCCTGTAATAATTTTTGGTTTATGTACTAACGAATATCCAAAATTTTAACTTTTTCTAATAGACTTCATAGGAAATTTAAACATTTCTGTAATAATTTTTGGTTTATGTACATTTTTCTAACTAATATCCAAAATTTTACATCAAAACTCTAGGATATAGGACAAATTTGGGTCATTGACTTTTACCCCGCCTACTCTTTTCTTATGTTTGAAATAATAGTCAACTTAATATTATTTGATGAGCTAAAAGCTCAGTGGGATAAACAATTCTGATAATGGTCAAACGTATATGAAAAAAATATAATATTTTATTCTGGTCATTCGAACTAAATGAGCATTAATATTCATCAATATATCTAACTTTGTGCAGTAAAATTTCATTAAAATTTAAGCATTATCACTAAATATATGGGGTATTTACTCACATTCCATACAATTATTATGTATTTATATTTCTAAACCTAAACTTTCATATCGACATACATTTGTTTATTAAAGTGAAATACACCTTTGAATGCATAGGTTCATGACACCGTGTTATTATTGTAAGTATAAAAGTTTAAGTGTTAGTTATATAAGAACTTATGAATTGTGTGCTAATGTATGTAAATTTCCCTAAATATAAATGTATGCATGGAAATGAAATATATCTTTTAAGAGTGAAACTTTCGTTTTATTGATAATGATCGTAGTTTAGAAGTGTTATATTATGTATACATAGACTTTACACATTTATATTATTTGGTCGTGATCTAGTCAATTGACCATAATAACCACATTTACGACTTTGACGCCGAAGTGTTATTATTTTAAGTATAAAATTTAAGTGTTTGATATGTAAATACTTATAAATTGTTTGCTATGTATGTAAATTTCCCTAAATATAAGTGGCATGGAAATGAAATATATCTTTTAACAGTGAAATCTCTTACTGTCGTTTTATTCATAATGATCATAGTTTTAGAAGTGCTACATCATGTATACTTAGGCTTTGACATATTTTTATTATTTGATTGTGGTCTAGTCAATTGACCATAATAACCGCTAATAAATTAGATAAGGGGTATTAATTTACTTTTAATCAATTTTTTGCTGGTGCTCTTGAGTACGCTTTAAAACCAATGTAAGCCTACCTATAAAGCTGCATGAGCTATTTATTGTCCAAGCTTTTCAAACAAGCCTGGGCCTTGTCAGAATCACCACAATCTTTTTGCTAGTTCATGAATCAATTGAATGTATAACAACTGCAATTGTTATGGTAAAATGACTATTTGAAATATAATCATTTCTAATGGGTTTTCTCCAAAATTTTGGCATGTATACATTTTTTTTTTCTTGATGTAGTTGTTTTCTATTGTATGCTTATAATTTTCAATATGCTAAACTCAAAATTTTCTGCTTGCATGAAATTTTTAATTTTTTGTGGAAGGTCACCGTACGTTAAAGAGGCATATGATTCATTCATGTTAATTGTAGTTCTATTGTGCGCTTATAATTTTCCATATGTTAAACTCAAAATGTTCTGCTTGCATGAAATTTTTAGTTTTACGTGGAAGGTTGCCGTATGTTAACGAGGCATGTGTTTTATTCATGTTAACATTTATGTTAATTTTAGTTGAATTAGCAAGCTGTGAAATTGAGATTTTAGTATGAAAGGATTTTTTAATGAATTATGACTTATTAATGAGTCTGATCTCACTTTCTCTAAATGCACAATGCTTGTAAGCTTTTTGGCATAGTATCATTCCTGTGTAACATTTATACATTTATTTCTAAAATGGTGGGTATAAGGAGTGTCACACCGGAAGCTGACCCCTTATCATCACACCCAAGCTGATCACTTGTATTCAACTAGGGGATTAACAGAGGAGGACGATTCATTCATTTCCAATTTTGATTGTCACTCATCACGCCCTTTACTTACCAGGATTTAATGACTAGAGATTTGATCTTACAAAATCATCACTAATCGAACTTCTACATTTTAATTCTTCTAATATTCACGAAATATAAATATGGATGCATGCATAAAGTAATCCTTAAATAAATACAGAGCCTCTAAAATATTTTGTTTAAATTTATTCATTCACAAAGTCTTCTTTAACCACAAAATATTGTACATATAAAAGTTATATAAATGGACAGGTCATCTGATTTGTGATACATCTGTCTTTTCAGTTTTTGAAAGTCAAAATTTTAATCTCCCATGAGCTACCTATTTTATAAGATAAGCAATGTTCAAATAAGATTCAAGCATACCAAAGACAAAAATATACGTTGGTCTGTGATACGATTCAATGTTGAAATAGGCACAAATTTTTGTAGAAATTAGGGGAAACATAAATTCTTATTGCAATAATCCAAACAACTCACACAAATGCAAATGATAAGCACCTATAATTTGAGAGGTAGGCGATCTCTCTTAATTCCTACAATTCGAGAGATTGTAAATCTCTCTAAAATCTTAGACCTAAGACTCACAATTCGATCTCATGCATCCCCTCTCACCCTAAACATAATAAGTCTTTTTATACCGAATAATAATAATAATAATAAAAGACCGAATTGCTCTTAGGCATATAAAAGACAAATTTGTCCTTAGACTAGGCATAGACGCAACAACACTTCCCTCTCAAAAAACACCTTGTCTTCAAGGTGGGAAAAAATTTGACTGTTGTTTGATATGCTAGCAGAGTTTAAATCATATAGTTGTCTACCTGTTCACTTGCAGTTTCATAGCATATTTATTAAAAATGCATAATTAAGTAAAAATGTTACTTTTCAATTATCACTTTATAATTTCTGTACTTGTTAATAAAGTCTATTGTTTCCAAGGGTATACATGATTAACAAGAAATACGTTGAATAAATGATTGCAACAAGAAAATATCAAGAAAATATCATGTAATCTGTGATACATTGGCAGCTACAATGATGATCTGCGCAAAGGAAGGAAAAATTTCTATAGAGACGAGCCTTGATAGGTAAAGAAATATATTTCTAAGTCTCGATATTATGATTGGGGCGGCCCAACTGGTATCAGTGGACCATTGATAAATGTGATATTAGAATAATCTACTTTTATCAAAGAATATAATTGCTGATGGACTGGATGATGACCTAACGAAATGAAATATATCAAAACTTATGCACACATTCTATGAAATTTCTAAGACAGTGAATGTTGAAAAGCAGAAGAAAAATGAGTTGTAAATGCACATATGCTGTTGACCAGTATAGTGAAATATAGAACTTGATGGTAGCAACCATGTTTCCTGATCATGTTCACCTTATTTTCAACTATCAAAGCATTTGCATTCTTTATAACTATTGTCATTCATGTTTGTCTCAGACTGTTATTTCTATGTCTAATCTAAGGGCAAGTTTGTCTTATGTATGGCAATTTTGTCTTTTGTTATTAATATTTTTGGGTATAATTAGACTTATTATGTTTAGGGTTAGGGGGGATGTATGGGATTGGATAGCGAGTCTTAGGTTTAGAGTTTTGGAGAGATCACCTACATCTCGAATTGTAGAAATTGGGAGAGATCACCTACATCTCGAATTGTATGTGCTTATCTTTTATATTTGTGTGAGTTGTTTGGATTATTGTAATAAGAATTTTTTTCTTAATTTCTGTGAAAATTTATGTTGATTTCTACATTGAATCATATCAAATTGGTATCAGAGTGATTGATTTATGGGATATCACCAGCAAAATCCCGATGAATAGAGATTAAACTCATTGTGCCCTAATCAAAAAGTCTGCGCCTAAAGATGTGAGCAACGACCGCATTGCTTACGAGATCCTCATACAATCGCGATAAGAGATGCGGTATCCAAAGGCTTTGTCCTACATATCAAATCGGGGCGTTCAAAGACCGAAACAACCATTTTTCTCTTCCTCTAGTGTGGCCTACGCGATACAGCTACAATCAGAGCGAGCCAATTTTTCTCCCCGACGGGATCACAGAATCCAAGGCACGATCTTCACGTACAGTTGCAATCAGAGCTAGCTGGAAAGGCTCCGCGCGAAGGATCGCAGCTAACAGAGACCCAAAACTCCATATTTCGTGGGCGCAACTTGCGGGTTCAAGTGTAGAAGGTAGGATTGCCTGCAAAACACAGGATCTCATGTACAAGGCGGGATAGTGGCGTATAGCTGGGAGGCAATGGCATGATCGCTACTTATCGAGGCCCAAATCCCCAACACAGGTTAGATTACAACTTATATTACTCCAATACCCAGCAAACCAGAAGCTGATGAACAGAGACTCGCAAGCCTTAATCATGACTCGATCCACACGAGTTGAGCCTGTTGAGGAGCCGACGAGCCACGAGTTACATTCTAATTGCGGCTTAGGCCAACTTATT